ATGCATGATGGGTTGATGCATGATGGGTTGATGCATGATGGGTTGATGCATGATGGGTTGATGCATGATGGGTTGATGCATGACTGCACGGTAAGTGTCATTGTGACAGGCATCACTAATCAGGAGGTACTGCAGCAGCAGGCATGGCATCACTAGATTTATCCATTTGCCTGTTTGGCTACTCACGCTTTCATGTTTGTTGCCCTCACGTTTCCTGTTTAATCTTCCACAGGTTCAGTCCCCCCTCTCCATGATATCCTCTCCCCTCCCCTTTCTCCCCTCTCCGCTCTCCTCTCTCCCCTCACGTGTCTAAGAGGTTTACTTGTTCCCAGGGTTCTCCCACCCTCCTCCCCTCTCCTCGGTCAGTGGATTTTTTTGAAAATGCTTGCCATCTGTGCCTTGTTCCAATCCCAACTCACGTGTCCCCTCATCCTGTACGCACCCTCCGCTATGGGTTTCCCCCCTAGGGCACACAAGGCACGAGCTGCATGATATAAGGGGCCATGGGGTTCATGAGGAGTCATGAGGGGTTCATGAGGGGTCGTGAGGGGTTCATGAGGGGTCGTGAGGGGTTCATGAGGGGTAACGATGCATGATGGGGGATGATGCATGATGGGATGATGCATGATGGGATGATGCATGATGGGATGGTGCATGACAGATGTCACATGGCTGCATGGAAAGTGTCATTCTGACATGTGAAGGCATGAAACATGACAGCATGGTGGCATCACTTGTGATGGCATGACACCTGACCACATGACAGAGTGAATGTGATGTGAATCCAATGAGTGCGCATACTTGTAACGTTCACTGATTCGGCTGGATTGGGCTGGATACACCATATCCATACTTTCAGTGTATCTCTGAGCCAAGCTGTTTCTCCCCTCCATTGGGCTCCTCAACCCCCCTGCCATCTTCTTTCCATCAGCAAAGCCCATCTTAACTAACATCCTTACGCATATCTCTCGCGCATCCCAGGCCCTTAGCTTGGTCAACCTATTGCTATCCTCGTTTCCCTTCACAACCCCATGTTTCTCCCCTCCCAGCCCCCCCCCCTCCCCCCCCCCCTCCCCTCCAAACAGAACCCCGCTCCCCCGTCTCCCTATCTGCACCCTGCCTCCTCCCTTTCCAACATCTCCTTGCCCCTGTTGAAATTTTAATAGAGAGTTTCCAGTTTTTGTTTCCCACTGAGGCTTCACTCTCCTCCAACCACCCGATCCCGTTTTCTCTAACGTTTCCGACCCCCTCTGTCCTCTAACCACACTTTGCCTATTGATTCGTTCCGAAGTCTTCGTCCCCCCTCTCCCTTCTCCCCTCTCCTTTGTCCGCCACCCTCGTGTTTCCTGTTTCCCCTCGTTTGCAGGTGTTTTTCTCCCCGCTCCTCTCTCCCCTCTCCTTGCCTGCTACCCTCGCTCACTTGCGCTCTTGTCCCCATCCCCATTCATTCGTGCTTTCTGGCATGGCATTAGGGGCATGAGGGGTTTATGAGGGGTCGTGAGGGGTTCCTGAGAGTCATGAGAGGTTTCATGAGGGTCATTGAGGGGTTCATAAGGGTCATGAGGGGGGTTGATTGATGGGTTTCATGATGGCCATGGGGGTCATTAATGGTCATGAGAGTCATGAGGGTTGTGAGTGTCACGGGAGTCAGGAATGGTGTGAGACGAGTGCAGTGAGTCTGAGGGTCAAACGAGAGTTGTATCGTAAAACGTTTGCAGTCCGCTGCATCATGGTGAGGTTGTGAAGCATGATGGTGAGGGTGAAGCGTGATGCCAAAGTTGAAGCACGAGGGCATCCCAATTGATACATCTCCTCGTTCTGCCTTTCCTCCATGTGGTTTGTATCTGGTCGGGTTCCTCCATCTGAGATACCAACGGCTCCTCTGTTTCCAACAGGTCCACCTGAGGTAGCTCCGGCTTCAATATGCAGAGCTTTCCCGTTTGCGGAGTTTCCATTCTGAAAAAGGTTTACCATTTGCAAGCTTTTTCTTTCTGGGTTTGCTGACTTGGTTTTCTGCTTTGCCAAATGCACGCACTCACATCACACTCATGCATGCAATGCACCCTCTTCCCACCACCAGCCTCTGCGACCCTTGTGCCTGGACCAGCGCATGGGCCATGGACCAGTCCGCAGCTGCGGCCTGGTACCTGGTTCGGACCAGCCCACGGATTTGTCTGCCCCCAGGCCAGACCTGCGGACCTGCGGACCAGCCAGACCCCATGCTCCATGTACCACACACTCAACACCGACAATTGAATGTACGCATATTGCAGGTAAAATGAAAGAGAATAACAAAAACGAAATGCATCCCTTCAATTGAGCTTCAAGAATGATAACTGCTCGCGCTTGTCATAGTTTGTATGGTTTATAGTCATGTTGAATCGGATGGTATTTGTTTAGGTGACGACCATGAGATCTGTTGGAAATATATTGTGAGATAAACATTCCCCGTAAGTTTGTATTACTTTATCGAGTTCCATAGTACAAGACAAGTTTCACAATCTACGGTACATTTCCCGCTCGGCATCTTCATGGGCAACTGGTTGGGAAGGGAACTGAACACACGCAGGCATCAATGGTGGGCTGCCCGCCTGTCAGAAAAAGCGTGAACAAGGCGTGACGGATCTAGCGACAATCTCGACGGTGCGTACTGAGAGAACCAACACCTGCTCTAGCATGGCCGACAGGTGTAAGGCCTTGCTAGGTAGTATCGATCGATGGAGACTTTTTTGCTAGGTGTGAGGAAGCTGATGGATCTAGCTGTAACGAAGTCGCACATGCAGGTCGCGTCTCTCTATGTCAATTCGTTCGGCTGCATCAATTTCGCTAAGAGTTGCAAGTTCCGTGAATCCAGCTGAACGAAAGTAACCTACCTCGAGCTGCAGACGGTGGTCGAGGTCACGATTAGGGACAGTGCAGACGCTGCATCGTGTCGAGAGAACAGACACTGCATTTCGTTCTGAAGCAAACGTCAATCAGAGGACGGTAACTACTCGTTCTTCTAAGCGCTTGCTGGCATACTAGCTGCATCACTCATTTCTCTGAGCGTTCAGCTTGTTTGCGTAGTAGCTGCCATGGATTCTTCCACGCACATCAATGGCCTACCTGATGACGTTCTCGTAAGGATCCTGTGGAAAATAGATCCTTGTCCCTGCAAAATCGACAGCGACTTTCTAGCACTGGCCAAAGTGAAGCCGAAGCCGAAGTTCATCCCAAGCAGCCCTCAGCTGGACGAGTTTCTCCGTGACGAGCGTGACAGTCACTTCCCGTTCCCTCCTGTCTCTGCAGACGCTGCTTACACTCTTCTTATCGCTTCGATCTGCCATCGATGGCGTCAGCTTGCCAAGAATCACGTCGCGACTCTCCTCGTCAGGGACAACCGCGCTGTTTCTCTCGAAGATCTCACCCGCGTTATCAACCTGTTACCGAATCTCACCCATCTTCACCTCAGCGACGCCAGCGTGGAAAATCTCGACGACGCGTTTCTCGCGCACCTTGCTTCTGCATGCCCGAAGCTGACAGCTATCCACGTGGGATTCAAGATCATACCATACAAGCGGCTCGATTTGAAAGATGAGAAACCGTTGACGGAAGCTGGTTTGGATAATTTCTTTCGCAACTGCGGTCAGCTGCAGCAGCTGTCGCTCTATTGCACGCATAGAAACGTCGACCTACCAACTTCATTCTTCCAGCTGTCCCGTCTGCGTTCACTGGTGCTGAAAGAGTGTTGTCTCCTAGAAGCTCCAGAGCTGAGGGGTTTATCTTCTCTCGCATCACTTCGAATGCATGCCTCCAATGTGGACTTCAAGCAACTGTCCAGCCTTGTTCACCTCGCCAACCTCACCAGCCTCACCCTGCCTTTTGTCTCCTCCACCTTAGAAGCGAGTTCGCCCACTGATTCCTTCTCCTTCGCGCAGCTGCAATCTCTTGAGACGCTCAGGGTTAGTAACTGCGATGTACCTTTCGAGCGGATGTTTCCAGAAGAATTGAGCTGCATCCGCCTGAAACGGCTCTTTTTGGCCCTTTGCAGCTCCTTGAGCTTTCCAGATGAAATCGGAGAATTACTGCCATCCCTACAGGAGCTGAGTGTCACATGGAGCAGTTTTCAGTCTCCCCTTCCGGAGCAGCTTACCACCCTCAGCTGCTTGCACAGCTTGACAATAAGTACATGCAACGTGCTCCTGCCTGAAAACCTCGGCAAGCTTCCCGCTCTGGAAACGCTGGTGCTGGAATCTCTGCCGTTCTCGACTCTCCCTGCAACATTCCATCAGCTCAACTCCCTTAAAACGTTGATTTTGAGCCGCTGTCAACAGTTACTTGAGTTACCAAGCCGGTTCACTTTGCTCACAGGCCTCAAGACCCTGTGTTTCATGAGCATGCCCAATCTGAGTCTTCCAGATGACATTGGACGGCTGACCAACCTCCAAACATTCCCTCTCCACAGCAATCGCATGACGCCGAATGTTTTACGTCCTTCATTCTCCCAGCTATCATCCCTAACAAGGCTGGAACTGGATTGGTGCTCAGGATCGGAACTTCCGGAGGAAATTGGCAACTTAACTAAGCTGCAAGAACTCTACATCCACTCCTGCAGTAATCTCAAGGAGGTTCCAGAGTCAATCACGTCGTGCGTGAGCCTTGAGATTTTAATCATTTGTCACTGTCGCAACCTTGTTTCGGTTCCCAAGAGCTTGGAGAGGCTTACCAGGTTGAAGAAGTTGGAGCTGAGGGGGTGCAACCAGCTGACAGAAGCTCCAGCAAGTTTTCCAGGCTCTCTCGAGGCCTTGACTATACAGAATGAGAAGCAGCCCATCCAGCTGCCAGACGTCTCCACGCTGCTGAAGCTGAAAAAGCTGACCTTGGGAATCGTCAGTACTGACGATGGGTCAGCTGCAAGCATAAGCCTTCCTAGTCTGAAGCATCTGGAGCTTGAAATGGCACAAGGTTCAACAGTGTTGCCCTTTTCTCTGGATTCGGTTTCTAACCTTGTCAGATTGACAATGCAGGATGCTGGAGGCATGAAGAAGCTTCCTGCGGATATTGGCTCCACCTTGCAGCACCTACGAGCGCTCATCATACTTCGTGCTGACGAGTTGACAGAGCTTCCAGAGTCCATTACTGAGTTACAGACGCTGACATCCTTATGTGTTCGTGCTCAGAAACTGGCCAACCTTCCTGAACAGATCGGGGCGTTATCTAGGTTGAGGAAGCTGGATGTGTCAGAATGTTCATCTCTAACATCGCTCCCTTCATCTCTGACGCAGCTCTCTTGCCTCTTTTCTCTGAAGGCAAGTGAGAGTGGCATCCGCTTGCTGCCACCCAACTTCTCAAGGCTATCCAGGCTCAAGAATATTGACCTGCAGGATTGCAAGGAGCTGGAGGCTCTTCTGGAGGACCTTACAAACCTGAAGTCGATATTGGATTTCAACGCTGATGGGTGTGACAAGGTGTGGATGAGGAAGGCAACATTGAGCTGCCTGGAGTGGGGAAGGTTTACGCATGGATATATTAGTGGTAGTAGAGTGTGTATGGACCTGAAAATATTACTACAATTCTGTTTCTGTTTTTCGGAGTTAGGTACCCATTTGTTTTGGTTGTACTGTATATAGACCAAGCTTGCATACGATCATGCTCGACCTATCGTTCCAAGTCCTGCAAGGGTTGAATGCATCAGTCTTCAGGATAGTGGACATACATAGTACCGTATCTGTGATGAATCATTCTGTAGAGTTGTGCATATGGCTCAGGTGGTGCATTCTTGGAAAGAGCAATTCGCTGAATATATAGACTTCTCAACAACGCTAGGGTGTGTGGGAGTGGACTCTAGGGCGTGGTGCTTGGGGTAGTGGATACTGGGGGTTTCTCCAAGCATGGAAAGGACGAGCAAAATGGGAACACCCGACGAGCTGTACAGGCAGTTGTTAGCGCAGGTCAGGGGGTCGACAGGAGCACCTGTGGTTGGCTGTGAGTGGTGCCATGATGGTGCATGATGGTGCATGATGGTGCATGATGGTACATGATGGTGCATGATGGTGCATGATGGTGCACGATGGTGCATGATGGTGGATGATGGTGGATGATGGTGCATGATGGTGCATCCTGGTGCATGATGGTGCATGATGGTGCATGATGATGCATGATGGTGCATCCTGGTGCATGATGGTGTATGATGGTGCAGGATGGTGCATGATGGTGCATGATGGTGCATGATGGTGCATGATGGTGCATGATGGTGCATGATGGTGTGATGCCAATGAGCAGGGATAACGGGAACAAGAAGGCAGCGAGTTGGAATTACCTGCAAATCAGATTGTTCAAGAGATGATGATACCCCAATGGTAGCAGGTATGAGAGGAGTGGGGGGTGTGAGAGAAGTGGGGGGTGTGAGGAGTATGGGAAATGAGAGGAGTGGGGGGTGTGAGGAGAGTGTGTGAAAGCAATGGGGGGCATTAGTGGAATGGGGTTTATGCGAGGAGTGGGGGGTATGGGAGGAGTATGGGGTATTAGAAGACTGGGGGGTTTGAGAGAATTGGGGAGTATAAGAGGAATGGGGAATCTGATAGGATTGGGGGGGGCACGGGAGGGGTGGGGAGTATAAGTGCAGTGGGCAATATCGGAGGAGTGGGGGCTGTGAGGAGTTTGGGGAATGAGAGGAGTGGGTGCTATGAGGGGTTTGGGAGGAATTAGAGGGATGGGTTGTATGGGAGTAATGGAGGGTACTGGAGGGGTAGGGGTTATGAGAGGAGTGAGGGATGTGCGAGGGTTGGGGGTTATAGAAGGAGTGGGAGCTAGGAGAGGAGAGGGGGGTATGAGAGGAGTGGGGGTTACGAGGGGATTGGGGCGTGTGAGAGGAATGTGGGGTTATGAGAGGAGTAGGGGGTATGAGAGGATTCCAGGTTATGAGGGGAGTGGGGTGTATGAGAGGAATGTGGGGTGTGAGAGGCGTGAGGTGTATATGAGGAATGGGGTGTATGAGAGGAATGGGGTGTATGATAGGAATGGGGTGTATGAGAGGAATGGGGTGTATGATAGGAATGGGGTGTATGAGAGGAATGGGGTGTATGATAGGAATGGGGTGTATGAGAGGAATGGGGTGTATGAGAGAAATGGGGTGTATGATAGGATTGGGGTGTATGATAGGAATGGGGTGTATGATAGGAATGGGGTGTATGATAGGAATGGGGTGCATGATAGGAATGGGGTGTATGATAGGAATGGGGTGTATGATAGGAATGGGGTGTATGATAGGAATGGGGTGTATGATAGGAATGGGGGGATTGGGTGGTATGAGAGGAATGGGGGGCATGATAAGAGTGGGGGCGTGAGAGGATTTGAGGGTATGAGAGGAGTGCGGGGGATGAGAGGAGTGGAAGGAATGAGAGAAATGGGGTGTGTAGGAGGAGTGAGGGATATTGGAGTAGGAAGAATGCGAGATGTGGGGGATGTGAGAGGAGTGGGGGGTGTGAAGGGAATGGGGGAATGAGAAGAGTGGGGGGAACGAGAGGAGTGGGGGATATAAGAGGAGAGGGAGTTTTGGGAGGAGAAAGGAAGATGAGAGGAGTGGGGAAGATGAGAGGAATGTTGGTGTTGGAAGGGTTTCAAGCGTCTTCTTAACAGTGGCGAATTCATGTTCTCGAGACCCATGCAAACCATGAGACCCATGCAAACCATGAGACCCATCATGTTGAGATGGGTGCTCCTGGAATGGCAGTGGGTATAAAGGGGTGAAGGATGGACAAGGGAGGGCTGTGTCAAGTGCGACTGCGATGAGATAAATCTCACTACATTCCAACTTCCCTGTCACGGGTAGCCTCTTATCACATCTAAGAGTATCACATCGTCACCTATCCTCATACCCTCACTCTCATGTTTCGTCATCTTCTTTCCATCCGTCATATTCTAACATGGTCCTTTAGTCCACTTCGTCAATCCCCTTGGCCACATCAACAGCAGCATCCCGTACTAAACCCTGAAAGTCGTATATCCCTTTTCCTGCGCGCTAGCATGTGTGTGATACATGATGCATGGTATGTACTAGTGGTATGGTGCTGCAGGAATAGAGCCTTGAGTCAGGAGAACCTTGGAGCAATGCTTACCATTGTTCTGGCTCAGAATACCGAGGTTGGAAAGGGAGTTCACTGAATCAACATTATATTTCAGCCCAGATTACAGTATGCAACTCCTATAATAGTAATTCGATCTATTTTATACCACTTGGAAGGATATGCTTGGTCGCGATGAAGCCTGCGTGCGTGTGCTGGCGTGCAGGTAAACCAACTAGAGACGTAGCTTATGAGGGTGAAATGCACCTTCAGAGCTGGATCCTGTCGCACCCCTCAATAGACTAAGTGATATCGCATTCTCAGATTGGATATGCCGTCAGGCAAAGCCCCGAGGTGCCCGTAGTTGCGACAATCAAGCATCTTCAGTCTGTTAAGTTGAGAAAAGCTAGGAGGAAGCAAGCGGATGCTGGTATCGCTGACGTTCAGCTCGGCTCATGCAGGCAGGAGAGTTGCGTGAGGGATGCAGTCGGATGCGTGAGGGATGAGCAGTAGGATAAGCCCAGCCTGCGCAGTCTCGAGAATGCCCCAACGGCGTCCAAGAGAAATTTATACGGAGCGTGGATCTGAATGGATGTGAGGCGGTGGAGAGTGGTGATGGCTGCGGGCAGCTCTGTAAGTTCATCACACCAGGAGCTGATGTTCAGCTGCCGTAGCTCGTGCAATGCGGAGCCGTCAGATTCTACCGGCTTCTTTATGCTGCGAGATTCCATGAGTGTTAAGGTGCAAAGGCGAGGAAGCATTGTCAATACGAACAGAGATTCCTCTGCATCTTCTCCCAGCACCAGCTGCGGGTGCATCACACCAGAGAGATGCTCACTGATAGCCTCAACACAGGTTGCACCCACGACAGCGCGCAAGCACGGTTTCCTCAGCTCTGTGAGTGCTGAAATGCCTGGCAAAAAACGCCCCCTGCTGATTGTTTCTCTAGGACAGAGCCTGGAGGCTGAATGGCAGAGCCTCAGTGGCTTCGTTCAGCAGGCAACACTACCTCAGCTACAACTGCATCAGCCTGGGAATCGAGGAGATGAGTCCTCCAGTCCCGTGGGAGTCAAAGAGAGCTTGTGACACTCTTCGATCATGAGCAATCAAGGCTGAAACGCGCCGACACGGATTCTGGAAGCTCCTTGAGGAAAGGGCAGTTTCGAATGTAAAGCTCTCGCAGGTTTGTCATCTCTGCCATGCCCTCTGGCAGGTCAACAATCCCGCACCGGTCCAGTTCCAGCCTGGTCAGCGAAGCCAGCTGTGTGAATGAGGACGGAAGCTGCTCTTGTCTGATCTGCGCGAGATGAAAAGTTTGGAGATTGGTCAGGCCACCCAAGTCTTCTGGAAGGTTCAGGGATGGCAACCATGCAAGGCTGAGAGTCTTGAGTGCTGTGAGGCATCCGAACCCTGGGGGTAGCTCGGCCACCCTCTCGCACCCAACCAGAAAAAACGTTTTCAGAGATGCGAGCCTGGTGAGGGAAGCAAGGAGACGGAGAAGCGGCAGCTCGTGCAGGGCTAGCGTATTCAAGGCTGGTAAATCCCCAAAGTTTTCGGGCAGAGTGAATATACTGCATGTGGAAATGGTCAAGCTCTCCAGGCAGGTGAGGGAGGTGAATTGGTCGGTCAGATCGTTGAACCTTTTGCACTCACTGATGCTGAGCTCTTGGAGTCGCGGCAGCATATCTCCAATATTGTTTGGCAGCTGCTGTTGAGTGTAGCAGTGGGTAAGCTCCAGCCGTTTCAAGAACCTGTGTGGAGATCCAAGAAGGGAAAAAGCGCTGAAGCGTGCGTCGTGCAGTCCGAACTTGAGCGACTCGAGAGAAGGTAGTAGCTGCGCGAGAGAGAAGGCAGGAGGATCGGCTGAAGCCAGGCGAATCTGATCAGGCAAGGAGAGGTGGGTGAGGGTGGTGAGTTGAAGGAGGCTGGAAAGCTGGTCGAATCGAAGGGAGAATGTATCAATGGAGAGTGCAGTGAGAGACGAAAGTGAGCTGACATCTGGAGCCTTTAAGATAGAAGCATTGCTCAAGACGAGGATGCTCAGATGTTGAAGCTGAAAGAAAGAAGCTGGTAGGTTCAGATTTTCGTGAAGACAGTACAGCGACAGGTGCTCCAATTGAGGGCAGTGACAGAAGAGATAATCCAAGCCAGACTCGGTTATCTTTCGGTCATTCCTTTCGTGCCGTCCCTCGGCCTCTTCTATCATCCACTTCCCCACGTGCAGCGCTCTCAACCTAGGGCACGAAGAGGCGAGGCCGGCTAGAAACGCGTCGTCCAACGTTTCAACACTACAATCGGACAGATGCAGATGGGTCAGATTCGGAAAGCAGGCTACAGCGTAGAGCACATCGTGGTGCGAAACGATGCGGTCTTCTTTGACGAGGAGCGATGCGACATGGCTCTGAGCGAGACGTCGCCAGCGACGGCAGATCGACGCGATGAGCAGGTTACGAGCGGCATCTGCGGAGGCTGGAGGGATTGGCATGGGAGAGTCCCTTAGCTCGCACCAGCGCTCGTCTGGAGTAGCGTGGCTGTAGCGGTACTTGGGCCTGGGCCCCACAAAGCTCCATAGATCATCGTCGCTCGCGGATTTGCAAGTGGTTGACTCGTTATACGGCCACAGGATCTTAAGGAGGACGTCGTCGGGGAGACCGTGGATGTGGGTTATACTAGAGTCCATAGTAAAAGCCGTAACGTGCACTAACTGGTAGCTCAAGAGTGAAGCTCAAACAAAATTCCGCCGGAGTGGCTTGGATCGCTCGTGGCACGTAGAATCGACCAAAGCTTCCACGAGTAAAGAACACTAATGTCGAAGGTAAAATTAGGATCAGTTTTTGGTGTTCTTTATGACTAAGACAACCCCAGCCAGAGCGACCGTTGCTGCGAATGTAAATTCGCCCACTCACCTGGAGCAGCACAACGCTGGGTCGCTCAGAATGCGTGCACCGCAGCTAGCAAGATGCTCTCTCCCTGTGCTTTCAGCAGCAGCTATTTCGAGTTTACACACGTGGCTAAAACTACATCGCAGCTCGCAGTTCAGTTCCGCATTGCAGCTCTGCGACACTCAACAGGCAAGGTGAGCTCTCAATTGAGTAACTTCGAGGTTGTTTAGGAGAGTAGTTTTTCCCAACCTAGTCCTAATCGAACATCCCATCAGTCTCAGGACGACGGCCCCCTCTCAGGACGACGGCTCAGCCCATACGAAGCTTTCTGAGGACGAAGCTCCCTGGAGTTCGCGCGGGTTGCCTGCGCCGATCATTCTTTCCGCACGAAGCTTTCCGCCAACCTTGGCAACCTTCAAGCGCCAGCGGTTATGCCCCAACCAAGGCAAGGCTCGTTTGGCTGCACCGAACCTGCTTGCTTTGGGAAAGAACGGGGATCTTGATTTCGGTAAGAATTGGCTGCAGTATTTGGGGCGTGTACACTGATCCGAATGTGGCATTTCAGAAAGCGCAGTGATTTCTGGTGTCGATTTTCCGTGGGGGGCAAACTCTGTTTTGCAGAACCTCATCGGAAAATGCTTCTGAAAATTCCCCAACACACTCGAACGCCTTTGTCGTCCGAAAAACTTCAGCACACCAGTAGTGGGATGTATGGTGACCCAGTTTCATTTTGGGATTTTAAAAGAAACTTGTTCTTACAGAAGCGGATCTTATAAAAGATCAGCTGCAATGAACGCTTGAATGCTGATCGGCGAAGAAAGTAGCGAGTAGCCGTTGCAGCCAACAAAACAAGCTCCTTCGGGCTCCCAGCAACTCATAATAGAGTTCGAATCGCGTTATCTCTGTGGCCTTTTTCGCAGTCACATTTTCTGACGGAAGGCGCGAGAACGATCCGCGTCACTGTACCATTACCTTACTTGTAGCACTCCCGTGTCAACATCGGCTTTAGTTTCGACCATTTTCTAGCCTATTGGCCAACATCAGTCCAAAGATCTCCGCAATACAGCACAAGGCCCGAGGTGACCTCTCAGTCGCATCGGTTCAAAAGATAGCAACGATGCAGTATAAGTCTCGAGGCAACATCCTGACGACAGTCACGTCGTGGAATCCCCTATTGGCTCCGCCGTGGAAAGCCACGGACGGTCACGATGAAGCTGCCTTACCAGCGCCAATCAGGCTCTGCGATGTGACTGTAGCGAGCGCAGAGGTCCCGCGCGACGCTCGTTATATGTGCGACCGCACTGAAGACAGAGTGCGTTCCGATCTGATTCTTTACGTTTTCAGCCAAGGACCACGCGTCTTTCAGTTATGTGTTGATTTCTTTTGAACTGTAGATTTTAAGGTGAAGTATGGAAGCTCCATGGTTCATATCCGCCGTGGATTTGGCAGGCCAATGAGCTGGAGCGGCGAAATCAACGGTTCATCGCGGCCCTTGCTAGGGCGGATCCGACGTTCGACCCCGCGAAGCAGACCCTCATGGCCTCTCAGGTGAGATCATATCAAATGAAATCGTATCATATAAAATCCTTTCAGGTGACACCCTCTCATGGCCTCTCAGGTGAGATCGCTTCAGGAGAGACACCTGACCCCACTTCATCCCCCTCCACTCCTCCTCTCCCATCTCTTCGCCCGAAAACCCCCTCCTTCCCACCCCCTTCTCTCTACTCCCCACCTGATCCGCCCACCTCATCCCCCTCCTCACCTCATCCCAGCATCGGCGACGACACAAAGGCCGCGTTTCTCATGATCGAGTAGCGACAACGTGCAAAGCAACCAACCAACCACTCATACCCCCTTCTCCGACCCCCTTTTCCCCCCTCACAGACCAGCGTGATGGTGGTGGGCCGTGTTGTGTGCGATGCAGAGGCAGCATCGGCACGCCTCAACGATTCCTCAGTGCTCCTGGAAGGATGGTAAGTGCTGACACGTCTCAACAAATCCTCAGTGCCTCTGGAAGTCTGGTAGTCGCTGACAAGTGCTTGTAGCGGGGGGAAGCTGTGTTGGTTGAAGCGCCTAGTGCAGAGGCGGCATCGGCACGCCTCAACGAGTCTTCAGTGCTCCCGGAAGGATGGTAGGTGCTTGTAAGGAGGGGGGGGAAGGGGTGTGCTAGCAGGGGGGGTGGAGGGAAGCTGTGTTGGTTGAAGCGCCTCTTGCAGAGGCAGCATCGGCACGCCTCAACGAGTTATCAGTGCTCCTGAAAGGATGGTAAGTGCGTGTATGGAAGGATGATAAGCGCTCGTAGCGGAGGGAAGCTGTGCTGATCAACTCGCCTTGTGGTGAATCTGAATCTGCATCTGCAACTCGCCTGAATCTGCCTTGTCCGCATTCAGTCTGCATTTCGAGATGCAGACTCAGCATCCGTGCATGCATGCGCATAGAGGGGCCCTCAGTTCTCCTGGAAGGATGTTAGTTGCGTGATATAAGAGTGTTTTTGAGATGTCTGCATGCGCGCGCATAGAGAGGCCTTCAGTTCTCCTGGAAGGATGTTAGTTGCGGGTACTAATGCAAAGCGGCACTTACGTTTTAATTCCCTCTCTTCTGCCAGGGCGCGAGAGTGCTTCGCCAACTTGCCTATCATACTTTTGAGTCAACTCAAAAGCAGACTTACGTTTTAAATCCCTTTGTTCTCCAAGGTGCGGCGAGAGTGCTTCGCCAACTTGCTTGTCATACCCAACCAATTTCCCTCTCCTCTCCCTTCCACCCCATCCCACACAGCATCAACCCCTGCCAAGGCATGAGATTGCGACTCAACTTCCCGATCGTACCGTCACATTCCCCCTTTTTTCCTATCCTCCTTCCCATGTCCCCCTTTCCATTCCTCCGTTCCCTCATTCCCCCCCCCACCCCACCCCACAGCATCAACCCTTGTCAGGGCGTGAGAGTGCGCCTCGATCTGCCCCATCTGCCGTCCCTCTCGCTCTTCCCAGGGCAGATCCTGGCCGTTGAACTCACCAATCCTTCTTTTTCCCATTTCCCCCTCCTTCAGCCCCTTTTCGCTTTCCCCTTTCCTGTCCCCACCACCCCACCCCACAGCATCGACCCTTGTCAGGCCGTGAGAGCGCGGCTCAATTTGCGCCATCTGCCATCCTTCTCTCTCTTCCCAGGGTAGATCCTGGCCGTTGAAGGCAGAAAATCTCACACCTTCCCACTGCCTCTCTCCCACCACCCCCTTCACAGCATCGACCCTTGTCAGGCCGTGAGAGCGCGGCTCAATTTGCGCCATCTACCATCCCTCTCGCTCTTCCCAGGGCCCGTTGAATGCAGCAAGCAAGTCACCAAATCCTGCCTTTTCCCCGTTCCCGTCCCCCACAACTCCACCTATTCCACAGCATCGATCCCTGTCAGGGGGGTTCCAGTGCGATTAGATTTGCGCCATCTCCCCTCCTTCTCGCTCTTCCCAGGGCAGATCCTGGCCGCTGAAGGCAGCAACTCACACACTCCCAATCCTGCTTTCCCCTTTCCCCCTTTCCCATTCTTCCCTCCCCCCCACCTTCTTTTCCCTCTTTCCCTTTCCTTGGTTCCACTGTTTTCTCCCCACCACCACCCCACCTCACAGCATCGACCCCTGTCAGGGAGTGAGGGTGCGTCTGGACTTGCGCCATCTGCCATCCCTCCCAGGGCAGATCCTGGCCGTTGAAGGCTGGGAGCAACTCACACACTCTGAACCCTGCTCTCCCACACCCCACCCCACCCCCTTCACAGCATTGACCCCTGTCAGGGTGTCAGGGTGCGTCTGGACTTGCGCCATCTGCCGTCCTTCTCGCTCCTCCCAGGTCAGTTCCTGGCCGTTGAAGGCAGCAACTCACACCTTCTCACCCCTGCTCTCCCTCCACCCCACCCACCCCCCCTTCACAGCATCGACCCCTGCCAGGGTGTGAGGGTTCGGCTGGACTTGCGCCATCTGCCCTCCTTCTCACTCTTCCCAGGGCAGATCCTGGCCGTTGAAGGCAGCAATCCCAGCGGCTACTGCCTCGTTGCCAAACGTATTGTTGCTGCCCTGCCGTACCAGCCCGTGCCGAGCCTGGCAGGCTCGGGACCGCAGGCTCGGCGGCGGCCGAAGCGTGCGAAAACGGAAGGAGCGGGGAGGAGGAAAGGAGGAAGGGAGGCGGAAAGGAGAGGGGAAGAGAAAGGGAGTGGAGAGAAGGGAGAGGAGAGAGGGAAGGCAGGGGAGGAAGGTGGGGAAGCGACAGGAAAGAAGGAAGAGGAAGGGAAGGTTAAGGAGGAGGGGGGTGGACGGAGTAAGGTGAATTTGCTTCCGTTTGGGCTTGAGGATGTGATAGCACTTGATGAGATAGAAGAGATGAGGAAGCACGATGGGGAGGGTGAGGGTGAGACGAGTTTCGAAAATGGGGAGGGATCTGCGAAGGCTGATAGAGAGGAGGAGGTGGAGGGGGGGAAGGTGAAGAAAGAGGTGGGGGAGGAGGAGGAGAAGGAGGTTAAGGTTGAGGGTGATGCTGATAACAAAGCTGCTGGTGATGGTGGGGATGCGGGTGGTGATGGAAATGGGGAGAGCGGAGTGGAGAAAGGGACAGAGGAGAAGGTGGATGGGGATGCTGCTGGTGCTGCTGATGCTGATGGTGGTGCTGCTGGGGCGCAAGAGAAGGTGGAAGACCGAGCGGACAAAGCTGGGACTGAGGGTATGGAGACGGAAGGGGTCAGAGCAGTGGAGAGCGGTGCTGTGGGTGTAAAGGCCGAGGGTAATGAAGAGGAGGAAGAGGAAGACGACGAGATCAGGATTGTGAGTTCTGGCTCTGCTTCCTCATGTCTCCTACACTCCTCATTCATTACCTCCCACATCCTTGTCTTGCTTGTCGGCCTTTGCATCTAGAAATGAAGTTGGTGCGGGTGTGTGTGTGTGTGTGTGCCACAACGCCTCTGACTGACGTTCTCGAGTCAAGTTTTGAGGCGCCTCAAAACTCGTCTCGTTCTGAGGCGCCCCAAAACCACGTATCACTGCGTCGTGGCAAAATCGTATCACTGCGTTGCTATAGTGTGTGCCACAACATCTCTGACTGACCTTCTCAAGTCAATCAACGACTCCTCTGACCTCCCTCTGCTGCAGCAGCAGCAGCAGCAGCCGCGTTGGCTTCTGATTTCTTCCCGAGTTTTCTCGATTGCGTTTTCTTGTTTTCTCGATTTCGATTGAGTATTTGTTAGTCTCCTCTTCATGCTGTTCGCCTTTCACCACCATGGTCCGTTCGCCACAACAACTTTCTTTTCCCCGCTTTTTTTTTATATATATTTTTTTATTTTTTTAAACACCACCACATTTCCCGTGTTTAATTTCATGTTTCCTGGTCCGTTGGCCACCACAAGTTTCTTTTCCCCTGCTTTTTTTTTAAATTATTATCATTTTTTTTTTTAACCTTTTCTTTCATGATCAGATCGCTGCAGCAGGCCCTTTCACCACGATTGACTCGTGGTCATTCGAGCCGTTGAAAGACCTCATCAGATTTGCACTGCAGCGACCACCAGATGTGCTGCTGCTGGTAAGCCGAGGAGGGGTCATTTCACCTGGTACTGTCTTGCAGCTAGTGTGCTTTGCTGGCATGCTGCCATGCCGCTATGCTGATATCTGGACTCATGGACCTTTGAGCGACTCAAAGATCTCATTAGATTCGCTCTGCAGCGACCACCAGATGTGCTGCTGCTGGTATGTTGATGCCTTATTTCACGGTTCACCTGCAGCTGTCTTGCTGCCAGTGTGCTTGCATTCTGGTACGACGTTATGCTGATTGACTTGTTGTGGTCATTAGAGCCGCTTCAAAACCACCTCAAGATTGCACTGCAGCGACCATGCTCCCCTCTTCATCCCCTCACCCTCCTCCCCGCTAGCCTGTGTTCCGCTCTTTTCCTCATTGACTCTGAGCATCCTGACGCAAGGGGCGGCTGTGTGGACCGCTCCTAGACCTAGGAGGCGCTAGGCCATTCTACCTCCTAGTCTACGGGTCTCCTAGACTTACGGGTCTAGTCTAGGTCTGCCTGTAAGTCACTGCCACGATTTTTTTGGCGCCTCAAAAATCCTCTGAGCATCCTGACGCAAGGGGCGGCTGTGTGGACCAGACGTAGACCTAGGAGGTACCCCATATACACCCTTCCCTTCCCCCAACCACCCCCCCCCCCCCCCCCCCCCCCCTTCTGTACTCCTTTGCTTGATCAGATGGGTCCCTTAATCGATCGAGAGCATCCTGATTCAAGGGACGGCTGTGTGAACCAGACCTACAAGGCACCCCCATATACACCCTTCCCTTCCCCCCCCCCCCCCCTCTCCTCTTCTGTACTCCTTTGCTTGATCAGTTCGGTCCTTTCATTGATCGAGAGCATCCTGATGCGCGGGACGGCTGCGTCGACCAGACCTATGAGACACCCCCATTTACACCCCCCCCTTTCTGTGCTCCTTTGCTTTACCAGATCGGCCCGTTCGTCGATCGAGAGCATCCTGATGCGCGGGACGGCTGTGTTGAGCAGACCTACGAGACGCTCTTTCAGCAACACATCCGCACGCAGGTGATTGGAGGACAAGGGTGGGGGAAGAGATGGGAGGGGCCCAGCTTAGGGGCTATAGATGGGGGCATGCATGCTATGAGTCTGTGTTGACTCTCGGGGCTGTGTTTACCAGACTTATAGAGTGCTCATTCAGCAGCACATCCGCACACAGGTGAGGAGTGGAATTGGAGTGGGGAGGGAGGTGGGGAGCTTGTATGGCCGAGGACGCGGTAAAAGTAGACGATCGGTCGTCTGATGCGATCGATGTGCTGATTGGTTACCCTATTTACCCGTAAGTAACCATGCTACAGTGTCAAATCTGACAAAAAAAATATGTACATCCCCAGAAAGCAACTGATCGTCAAATCGTGACGAGCAATCGGGGCAGTGTAGCTGCGCAAATGAGCACGAGCTGGGCGAACCAGGGATGATTGATCCACCTGCTTGCGAAAGGCACGAAATGTTTTCACCATGAACTTTTGCTGTTTTAGTACGGGGACTCACATTCGTCGCGCTGGTTGCCGTGTGATTCACGACTATCGCAACAGTGCTTGTACGGAATATTGAAATCCTGGGCGCTAACATGCGCCAATGCGATCCCGCAACTGTAACATGTGGTTTGTTGATCGTTAAATCAACTGTCGCGCATCGTTTTGCCGATCAATTCCCCAGAGCGATTGTGCGAGTCGATATTCAAACGCGATCCTCCAAAACGGTATGAGGATGCAGTTTGGTGGAGTGCCCATTAGTACCACCACCAGGATGAAGATGGTACCGCGTCCTGAGGGAATGCATGCTGTGAGGCTGCATTGATTTAAGGGGCTGTGTGGAACACTCTTCAGCATGGGAAGAGGTTGAGTGGGAGAGGGCTGTGTGGAACACTCCACCACCAGACCGTTACCACCAGGGTCACCCCACGATTACCATCGCCCCACCTTCCCCCAAATGTTTTCTTACCCTTTCCCCCTCAGGTGGAGGAATATTGTGAGCGGGCAGGAGGCAGCTGCAAGGTGCTGTTGCTGCCGTCACTCAGAGACGCCCACCACACCATGATATTTCCTCAGGTGATTTTTCTTTTGACAATGCTTGCAGGGTGAATTCCTCACTAAGAGACGCCCACCACACCATGATCTTTCCTCATGTTTAGTCTCAGGTGCCTTTTCAGGTGACTCTTCAGGTGCCTCTTTGAGTGCATCCCCATGTGCACAACACCACTCACCCAGGCCCATGCTCTAGAAACCCTCTCAAGTACCTATTGCTTCATGGCTTTTACCACTATCCTTTCGTTCCCCTGTTCTATAGCATGACGCATGGGGCATATGCGGCACCTCAAGAATCGGCCATGCCTCTGCACTGCTTTGCTGTTTTAGAGTCTCTGCTTAACGGAACGGGTACTCCTGTTTGACGATTTTTGAGGTGCCTCAAAAATGGCAGTTCGGGTATTCTTGTGTGTGTTCCCTAGCCTGCGTCTGGCTCATCTGACACTGTGCGAATCTATTTGTGAGGCGCCTCAAATACCTTGTGTGTTCCCTAGCCTACGTCTGCCTCAAAAATGGCAGTTCGGGTATTCCCGTGCCTTGTGTTTTCCCTAGTCTGGCCAGGGCCTAGCCTACGTCTGGCTCATCTGACACTGTGTGAATCCGTTTTCATCCCTTTTCATCCCTCCTTCTCTTTCGCCCACTCTGCATGTGAGCAGCCTCCGTTTGACTCTTCTGACTTTGAAGACCCCCGCAAGCAAGTCCTCACACTTGGGAACCCCTCCGCCTTTACAATTGATAACCAGGTATGTGTTGCTGTGTTGTGAGATATTTTTGTGTTTAAGAATAAGTGTGTCTTCAAAGCAAGTCCTGATGCTTGGGAGGAGCCCGTCCGCTTTTGCACTGGATAACCTGGTGGACGTTGCTGTCTAAGAATACGTGTGTCTTCAGAGAAAGTCCTGATGTTTGGGTTGGGAGGAACGGAACCCCTCTTGCCTTTGCACTGGATAACCTGGTGGACGTTGATGTATTGCTCTCCCATTGGTCTGCACTGTTGTAGCACCATCTAGACTTTCCAATGTAGTAGCAACGTATCTAGGCAAGTCTAGAAAAACACCGCTGGCCAAGGAACTTCATGGCTGGGTATCTAGGCAACCCATTTTGTTGATCCAACACTCATTTCATGGAAATTTTTCTTTTGAGAGTTTCAGTTTTGTAAAACTTTGGTTTGCCTATCTCCGTCCACTTTGCCTACCTTGCTTTGCCTACCTTGGCCCAGTTATTCCTGAAAGCTTTCAAACACTCACATTTGCACTAGCCAGGTTGGCATTGTCTGCTCTTTTCCCGCTTGTAGTGAGTCGAGTTTTGAGTCGACTCAAAACTCAACTTTCAAGCACACCCTTTTGCACTAGCCAGGTTGGCATTGTCTGCTCTTTTCCCGACATCCTCCCCACTCCAGTTGTCTTCTCCCTCCACTCACTCTCCTCTCCACTTCCTCACTTCTCTCCCCCTTCTCCCTTCCCCCCTCCCTCCCCCCTCTCTCCTCCCCTGTCCTTCCCCCACACCCTTCCCCCTCCCGCGAACTGCCCTTCCCTGCCAGGTTGGCATCGCCTGCTCTTCAACGGACATCCTCCGCCACCTTAGCAAGGAGGAGATTGCCCGCGTGGCGCCAGGAGACAGCGCCACGTCAGACCGCATGTCCAGGCTGGCGGCGCACGTGATTGGCCAGAGGAGCTTCTATCCACTCTTCCCTCCACCCCCTGCAACCTGCCTCGACCTCTCCTGCTGCCCCCAAGCCCTGGACCTTCCGTTCGCTCCTCACCTCCTATTCTTGCCATCTGACCTAGTCCCTTTTGTCAAGGTAAACCCCGTTCACCCTAAACCTCTTCTCTTTTTCACAGTCTCTTCCTCTCCCTTCCCACCTCCCCCCCAGTAAGACTTGTGTCGATCTCTCCTGCTGCCCCCAAGCCCTGAAATCTCCCCGTTATCCCTCACTTCCCCTTCAACCCCCCCTCCCCTTCACCCCCCACCTCCCCTTCACCCCCCACCTCCCCTTCACCCCTCACTTCCCCTTCACCCCTCACTTCCCCTTCTCTCCTCACCTCCGCTTCACCCCCCATCTTCTCTGACTACCATCCAACCTCGCTGCTTTCATGCCACTCTTTGTTTTGTCTGCAGGTTCTGCCCATGCAACAACCACCACAACAACAGCAGCAACAGCAGCAGCAGCAGCAGCAGCAGCAGCAAGCAGTTACTGTGGACTCGGGTCTCCCAACTGCTGCAACAACACACGCTGGAGCTCAGGCGACCAATCCAGAAGCAGCGTCACCAGCAACAGCAACAGCAGCCTCACCACTTGCACCGCCACCGGTACCAGCAGCAGCACAAGCAGTGGCGGCTGAAGCTGCCAATGAAAACGGTTCGGTGTTTCAGCCTGTGTGCATTAATCCGGGGCACCTTGCTAAGGGGTCCGGTGGAGGGACATTCGCGGAGGTGATTATCAAGGGGGGTTTAGGAGGCGAAGAGGATGTGGCCCACTTCCATGAACGAGCTGCTGTACATATCTATCGCATCTAGTCATAGGTGGGTGCTCAAATAGTTGCATGTTTTACGTGTGGAAGAAAAAACAACAATTATCCATCCAGGGGGCAGATATTTTTGTTTCCATGAGCAAGGTGTTTTTTATACCAATCGTATATTTTTGTTTTGTAGTTCCATAAGTTGCAGTACGTTTTCACTGCAATCTCTAGGAATTTATATAGCGTAACTCAAACTTGGATTCTCCCTCCCTCCATCCGTTTTGCGGATGTGGAGGCGCTCAGGCGCCATGTTTTGGCGGGAGAAGTCCATCACCTTCAATTATTGAATCAACAACTTGTGAAGCGACGCGAAATGTGGCTCGGTCTGGTTGTAGGAAACCCGACTCGATCGGAAATCAAGATTCCAGGTGGATTTGGCACGAAGAATCGGGGCCGTCGATTCTAGCCTAGTTCCGTGCTACAGTAGCACTGGCCTTCATCAACTGCTTCTTTCTCGCCACTGCCTGCTTTTGCCTGCATCGAATCACCCACACACACTGCCTGTATTTGTTGGCGCCATCCGCCATTGCTGCATTATGCATTCGGCCGTTTACCTTCCATTCCGTCTCGTCCTCCCTCCCCACCCAGCGATCCGTTCTGTTCCCCACTTTCACGTTCAGCCTGGTTTGCTGCTGCACGTTGCTGCTGCTGCTGCTGTGGCTGCCTCTCATCGCAACCCTTGTCAGCCTGGTACAGTATGTGCATCCACGCGTGCTTGCTTTCCTGTCGAAAGAGGAGGTTGGCGAGGGACATGCCTCGACTCTAACCAAACGCCAGTTTCCTTACCCTGATCCATGAATCGTGAATCGCGATTGCACGTGATTTTCTGTTAATCACACCAGCCTGCTCAGTTCGCACCGTCGCTTCACTCACCTCGTCCGTGTTTCACACTCATCAGCAGAATTACTCCGCATAGTGAGCAATTTAGAGTGAGAAACTGTATATTACGTGTGCCACCACGGGGCGATCTAAGCCAGCTACACCGCTGGCGAAGCATCCTTCAAATCAGCTAGTTTACTGCTTGTGCAGTATCCCCCACGTGCTGCCCTCTGTTTACAGCACAGTCAGGAGGCGGCTCCTGTTATTCAACCCGAGCCAAGTCAACTGCTGGCCACGTGGCTGCCAGCAGTTGGATCCGTCACTGCTGCCAGCCACTGAGTGGCTTGTAACAGCACCGTGCAGCCAACAAAAACAGCCTAGAAATGCGGCTGTACAGGGATAGGCGATAGTATCCGCTTGTGGTGGCGTAAGCGACTGCTCGATCCGTTGAAAATGCGTCGCTTCGCTAACAGCCTGCCTCGGCTCGACCGCTTCCCCTCTACCCTCCCCCGGCACTCCTCCCCCCAACCCAACCCCTCCTTTTCCCCAAAGCCTGCCTAGGGGCCCGCTCGCCTCAGGGAGCACCTGGCGCGAGCCACGTCGACCCTGTAATGATGTCTGATATGCAGGAAAAGAAGGGCGATCACGAAATCACGGATCGGTTGCACAGTACCGCGCGGCGATGATCACGAAGGAAATGATGACTAATTTCCTGGGAAGGGAAGGAAGGGCGACCACGAAGGAAATTATGCCTAAATCGCTGGGAAGAGAAGGAAGGGCGATCACGAAGGCGCCGATCGGTTGCACAGTACCGCGCAGCGACGATCTCGACTAGCGCTGATCGCCCTGAGTTTGAGATATCGCTGATCATCTTCCGCACAAGCGAGCGAGTAGACCAGGTTACTGTTGGAAATCTCCTTTTCAAGCAGCAACGTCTTGTTATCGCAGACACTGTATCGTCCAGCGACGGAACCTGGCCAGGAAATTTGTGAATCTCGATTTGCTTTCGCCGGGAATGGACGGCTCGACAGGCGCCGCCGGTTCTTACGCCTCGCTTGGCGGCAGCAGCAGGTCGTTGAGTGCATTACCCCTCTCGACCATCCATGAGGGTGCGAGCCGCTGGCAACGGCGACCATCCATCCATGAGGCAACGGCGGCGACGGAATCGTCAGCGGCGTCGCCGTCGTCGTCTGCGACGTCGTCGCCGCGAAGGCAGCAGCAGCGCGAAAGCTTGCGACAGCTGCGGGAGCGGATGGCGCAGATCGACCGGCGGTTCGCAATGCGATTGGCGGAAGCCGATGCGGCAACGCGCCGCGGCGCAATGATGACAGTGACCCCCCCGTTTGACTCGCCACTGCATGATGCGGAGCGATCAGCGCATCACCACGATTCGGTATGCCGGATTTTCCCGCTCGGTACAGTCACAAAGCAGCGCAAGAGCTGCTGCGAATTCGACAGCGGCTCTTCTACTAGTAGTAACGCCGAAGCAGCAGCAGCTCTAGTGTTTCCAAAAGCCGCGTCCGACCCTGGGCCAGACCCGCTTCTGCGAGCCGCTTCGTTAGGATCTGTTAGAAGGCGCCATCCTTTTCGTGTGCCAGGTGCGGAAACCCTAAATGAGGCTGGATGGTTGCGGCTGCTTGCGGGGACGCGGAGTGGCCCAGCGACAGTGGCAACTTCGACCGACGGTCACCGTGACTTCTCCGCGTCACGCCCCGCTAACGCAGCAGGCGGCCGTGCGATTGCTCACGACGCGGTTTCTGATCAGACGCTGATTGCTATCGCGGCAAATAGGATATCTAGAATCGGCAAAGGCGGTGGACACTTGGAGGCTAAATTGGCTGGGCATAGGCGATCATCGCCTCACCCTGGCAACGAGGCGCCCCTTTTTATTGAAAGCAGCGGGGATGTCTTAAAGCTCGAAAACTCTAGCAACTCCCTCGTACCGCCGGAGTTAGAAGGGGCCGAGCGCTATTTGCGGAGGGTAGCAGGTGCTATGGATACAGGTGGAGGTGTGCGGCTGTTCGGTAGAGAGGAGTGCCCAAGTGTTGACGGCCTGAAGTTTTCCAGCTGGGAGGCTGCTGTTACAGCATTAGTAATATCAACGCTAGTGGGAATTTTGATTATAACTCTTATTACCCTTTTCCTGCCATGGTAGGCAGTGTTCTTATAAATTGTGCCTTTTCTACATGGCAGTGTCAGTTTCACTGGAGTATTTTACCATGCTTCCAAATGCTGTGTTGGGTATCTTCATTGTAATTTCTAGCCGCACTTTTACTTCCCACTCATATAAAAACACATTGCCATTATTTCCACATGGTAAGATTCACCTCATTTTGCTTTTTCATTAGAATGCATGGATGTCATTGCCTATATTCCAGCTAGTGAATGGTGTAGAATTTTGACTCCATGAGTGCGTCGAGTTAAAGCTGAAGTATACATTTGTCATCCAGGTTTTGGGTTTAGAAAGTCACCTCACGGTCTCACAGGCAAACTTTCAAATTTCAAAAGTTTTTGAACCCCTTCTGTCAAATGTATACGAAAGCTTTAACTTTGACAGAAGCTTTCGTATACACCCCCCTGCTGCCTCTTCTTCCTCCCCCACCCTGATTACACTGCTGCTTTCAAGGCGCTAGCATTCTTTCTTTGTCCTTCCCTCCCTCCAGACCAGTTCACAGGTGCAAATATCAGGCTTCCACCCCTCCATTGACAGCCAACCCCTCTGCTGCCTCTTCCTTACCTCAGTAGTCGCCTGCGTGTGTGTGTCCTCCCTTCCCTCCCTCCCTCCCTCCCTCCAGACCAGCTGTCAGGTGAAAATATCAGGCCTCCACCCCTCCATCGACAGCCACCCCCCTGCTGCCAAAGCGGTGCGTCAGGAGAGAGAGAAGCTGGAGTTGTGGTTGTCGAGTTGACTCAATAGTTGGTCATTCAGCAGTTTCACGACCACCGGGTGGGTGCTGGTGCACCAGGTGAGATCAGGTGCAGTGCGGTGGAAAGCGGTGCAAGGAAAGAGAGGAGATGGGGTTGTTTTGTAAGTGCTGGGTCGACTCAGCAGCTGCATGACGACTGGGTGGGTGCTGGTGCACCAGGTGAGATACGGTGGAGTGTGGCACAAAGTGGTACACCGGGAAAGAGGAGATGAAGCTGGTGATCCAGATGGGGTTGTGTGATCGTTGAGTTGGTTCACTATTTGAGCATTCAGCAGTTGCACGACCACAGGCTGGTGCTGGTGCTCCAGATGAGATGCGGTGGAGTGCGGTGCAACATGGTGCATTAGCAGGAATTGTGATTGTGAAGTCAACTTAGCAGTTGATCATTCCGCAGCTGCACGACCACAGGTTGGTGCCGGTGCTCCAGGTGAAATACGGTGCTCAAACTTGCCAGTGACGAGATTTATGACGCCTGGAAAGCCAGTGACGTACAGATGCACATGCCTGGAAAGCCAGTGACGTACAGATGCACATGCCTGGAAAGCCAGTGACGTACAGATGCACATGCCTGGAAGGCCAGTGACGTACAGATGCACATGCCTGGAAAGCCAGTGACGTACAGATGCACATGCCTGGAAAGCCAGTGACGTACAGATGCACATGCCTGGAAAGCCTGAAACTTCCCCAAACTCTGTACTTGCACGCTTGTTGTCCTGCGTGCTGACAAGATTCCTTCTACTGCGGATTGACAGAGGAGGAGGTGAAGCACGCCAGTGACGACATCTGAGGCGCCTTATAAGCCAGTGACATACACATGCGACATGCGTGTTCCCCAAAATCTCTGCTTGCTGGCTGAGAGGACTCCTTTTCCCAAGGGTTGACAGAGGAGGAGCTATTTCAGGCAAGGGCATGTGCACTAAAGGGGAAAACCCGTTTGCTTTCGCTTGCCTTTTTCCTCGCTTGCTTGCATGGTGACAGGATTCCTTCTACCGAGGGTTGACAGAGGAGAAGTGTTTTTGGTGCGCTAAGCTGGTAACCCCGCGTGTTCTCACTTGCTTCCTTCCGTGCTTGCTTGCTTGCATGCTGACAGGACTCCTTCTACCGAGGGTTGACAGAGGAGAAGTGTTTTTGGTGCGCTAAGCTGGTAACCCCGCGTGTTCTCACTTGCTTCCTTCCGTGCTTGCTTGCTTGCTTGCTTGCATGCTGACAGGACTCCTTCTACCGAGGGTTGACAGAGGAGAAGTGTTTTTGGTGCGCTAAGCTGGTAACCCCGCGTGTTCTCACTTGCTTCCTTCCGTGCTTGCTTGCTTGCATGCTGACAGGACTCCTTCTACCGAGGGTTGACAGAGGAGAAGTGTTTTTGGTGCGCTAAGCTGGTAACCCCGCGTGTTCTCACTTGCTTCGTTCCGTGCTTGCTTGCTTGCTTGCTTGCTTGCATGCTGGCAGGACTCCTTCTACCGAGGGTTGACAGAGGAGAAGTGTTTTTGGTGCGCTAAGCTGGTAACCCCGCGTGTTCTCACTTGCTTCCTTCCGTGCTTGCT